AAAAGCGGTTTGATTTATACGTGTGTGATTAATTTTACAAAACTTCTCTCAGTGCTTGGCATATTAAACAAATGTAACTTAGCTGTTGTACAAATTTTGCCGTACATTCAACACATTGTTCTGCCGAAGAACGAGTCTCGACTAAATCCTTCAGTGTATGTTGCGACAGAGTACTTTACTGATCGAGAAAAATATTTCTACTTAACTACGCTGCATACACTAGCAGCTTCTTACGTAGGGAATGCCTTAATGATAGCAACAGGGACGATGTTCATTGCATATATTCAACATATCTGCGGAATGTTTAGTATCGCCAGGTGAGTAAATGAATGCTAGAATATAATCGTAAACAATATTTGTTTATTATCTCAAAACAAAATAAAATTAATTGAAGGAATAAAATCATTTTTTTTTTACAGTTATCGAATCAAACAGGCAATCAATATTTTACAAAAAGATATCCTGAAGAGTGAGAACATGGTTTATAAGGAGATTACTTATGCCATAGATATTCATCGCAAGGCTATGGAGTTGGTATATATTTAATGAAGAGCATTGAATACTCATATAATTACACAAATTTTCTTGTACTTGAAGGTTCACGGATTTTTTAATATCAAATTTTGAGGGATCATTCTTCTTCTTGATAGCAATCGGCGTGACTTGTATTAGCCTTAATCTTTTTTGGGTAAAACTTTTTATATTTAATCCTAATTTCATGACATTAGAATTTTATAAAATAGTGAAAAAAAATAAAAAGAAGTAGCTAAACACTTTTCTATCTATATATTTATTGAAAATAATATATTGAAAGTAATATATTTATTCAAAGCGATAATTCATAAAAATAATGGTTACCTAATTTTCAAGATACTGTAATTGCTAATTATATGTATAAGCTAAGTAAATAAATTAGCAATAACTAAATAAAAACTTAATATTAAAACTCTTAATGCTCAATTATTCTCAATAATTCAATATTCTGATCTGATGGCATATAATTTATTGATATTTTATCATGCAATATACAATATAGAACACAATATGATTCGATCGTGCGTAAGAAGTCGAAAACAAATGTTTAACGGACGTATCACATTTTTTAGCTTGCGTCATATAGTGATGAAATTGAAAAACTTGTACCTTTTATAATAATAAACATTCTCTACACGTACTTGTTCTTAGCCAACTATATAGCGCAAGAAATTACGGATCACAACGAATATGTATTTGCCACAGTGTAAGAAATATTTCCATCATTTTGTCATACAAGGGTACTCGTTTTGTAACAGAAATCTAAATTATAAAAAATATTAGAGTAAAAGTACTAATATGAGAATCGTGGAACAAATATATTTATTACTACCAAATATTTTTGTCTTATTAAAACTAGCAATTGTTATTATTTTGTAGATACAACATTCAGTGGTACACAGCTCCGTTACATATACAGAAAATAATATTGTTTTTACTGCAAAGAGGCACTAAACCATTTCATATAAATCTCGGTGGAATATTCGTGGCGTCCGTAGAAAGTGCGGCTACGGTAAGAAACATGTATCATATGTTGTAGTTTATAGTAAGTTCTTCTATGTATTATCTCTAAGAATATTGTTTAATCAATAATATAACATTAACAATCATTTTAAAATTATCTCTTGCTATTTTAGTCGAATCACGCTTTACATCACATAAATCATACAAAAACGTATAGTTTCACTATAATAATTATTATTTACAAAATATTAACTAATAGCTCCGTACAGCTAGAAAATAAAATAAAAGATAAAGAAAATTATAAAATTACTATTGTATTTCCTTGTTTTATCTCTCTCTCTCTCTCTCTCTCTCTCTCTCATGGTCGATAATATTACGAAATTAATAAATAACTTTTACTTCAAAACGTCGTAGTTGAATTATCGGAAAAGAATCGATTATTTAAACGTATTGTCCTCAAATTTTTGGTTAAAGAAAGTTCTATTATACTTTTTTATATTACTTATTACAGAATAAAGCAAAAGATATATTTTATTACAGTTGTTTAGTACTTCGATATACTATTTTACTGTTCTCTGTTCTACGAGGGAGAACTAAGAGTATAAATTTATGACGATAAAATAAAATTAGTTTCAATTTGGAAGCGAGAGAATCAAAAGGGGACGGTGAAGTTTATTGAAATCAATATTGAGACTATTTTGATCTCGCATTTTACGTAATATATGTGTTGAAGTATTAGTAATTCTGCGAAGGGATAATATTATTATTGAGAAATCGGAATTCTACATTGTAAAAACTGCAGAATAATGTTGAAAACGTTGCGTACAATAAAAATTTTTTATTATTCAGACTTTATGTAATTATAAAAAGTTTCCTTTTTGTAAATGCAATAAAATTTTGAATGGTTCTACTTTTAAATAAAATGCAAAAAAATTTTTTATGATTGTTTTCTTATAGCGCAATTAACTGATTTCCTTTATTTAATTTTTAATGATATTTTTAATGATAGTATATATTTCCGATATGTAATTATTTCAAGTAAGGGAGACCGAGGCTATATGGCTCCAGGTGTATGTTGCTTATGTGCTATTTTTTAGTATTTATCTCGAAAAGAACAGTGGATAAAAAATAGAGAAATAGTTCTTCTAGATTAAAAAAAAACATTACACGAGTTTCCGTCCATTTTGTTCTTCTCAATATAAATACTAAAAAATAGCACATGAGCAACATACCGCTGGAACCATATAGTCCCGATCTTTCGTATGGAGAGACCCGAATAAAATAACCCGCATCTGCACGACAAACAACTGTTGAGAAAAACGGACTATTTAATGAAAACAATATTGATTATTTACAAACAACAGAAACTTCTATCTGTGACACTATATCTTTATATATATGTAATTATAATGTTACAGAAATGCAATATATATATTAGAGGTTATCCCTCAAACGTATATAAATTTCGGCCTTAAAAATCTTTTAGGTTAAAGATACGCATACGAATAAGAGTACGCACTCAATAAACTTTTGCCTGTAACAAACATTTATTTAAAGAAAAACATAATTCTTTTACATATAAGCAAGTCAAGTAACTTGCAAAGTTAATGATAATAAATAATTTTGTGTACTAATATAAAACAATTTGTATTAAGAAAAGTATACAAATCTGTAAATGCAAACATTTATTCGATAAAGTGTCTAAAAGTACTCATGATGTCAGGATAACCGAAATAAGCCTCACGACATCATCGAATACAAATTCCACAAAATATAGTCATATTTAAAATTTTCATTGCATCCTGGACAAAGAATTTTATTTGAAGATGTCAAAAACATTTTATCAGTGTTTCTTTCTTCCATCGAGGAAGTATATTACTCTTTCTCGTCTCTGCTGCCTTTTCTATTTTCTTGGTTTACTTTTTTTTATTTGATAACTTATTTTTAAAGGTTGAAATGACGTATAATTTCTGACTTCTTCGATGACGTTTTTTAGTTTCCAAATTTTATTTTGGTAGCCGACTTATATCAGAAACAATACCATCAACAAAAAGGTTTACATTTTTATTATCATTAGAATCACTTGATTCTTTCTGTCAATTTCAGATTAAGTAACGGCTTTCAAATTCACATGCGAATTAGGGCATGTATTTTGCGATCTGAAATCGTGCTTTTCAGCACGATCAATCATTTCTGTCGGCGCAAAGCTGTCATCATTAATCAATACTTATTTTTAATGACACGAAGCTATTGACTGATGAAATAGCCAGGTACTTTTGCGTTTTTTGGACTAAAAATGTTTTATGTTCTAGTTGCATCAGGAAGCTAAAACTCCATAAGAACTCATCAATCGATGAATAGATTATTTTAGCACAATTTTTAGACAGATTGACCTGATGGGGAAGAATGGGGAAGACGGGAGAACAAAAGTTGTTTAACACCCTAATTAGAATGACGAAGGTACTTTCACATGGTTTGTATAAAATTAGAAATAATGTAGAAATAAGTTATATTTGTGTTTATTTATGTTCATATTTTATTTCTATTCTATTACAATGTCAAAATATAGTACAATGTTTAGGATGATTATGAGGAAACTTGGATAGAGTAATAGCACGTTAACTTGCTTATAGGATGTTCATCGCACACTCCCTTATCGTTAAAAGTGCAATGCTTCCTTGTTTTTTTTGCTTTCCATTCAAATTGCGGCAAACATAATAGCTGTCGACAACTACATGTATAGCAAGCTGATTCTGTAACTCTTAACGACAGTTTCGTTATCGTTATATTGTTGTTGCGCAAATATTATGGTAAAATACATGGTAAAAAAACAGCGCAAAAACAATATAATGATAACAAAACTGTCGTTAAGAGTTACAAAATCACCCCGCACTTGAGTCACGTCTTTGGGCAGTAGAAGAACTTGCATATGCTAAGGAATGTATTTCACGTCCAGGAACGTTTTCTACAGACAAACGTATAAATAATTTTCCTACTATAGTGAGATATCGGGCACGTGCTTCAATGTTTGTGCGAGTGTGTGTCACAGCGGAGATAAGTACCTCGCTGATTGTGACTCCCGTATGAACATTGCAGTTTGTCATTTGCACCATTTTGCTAACGGAGCAGTTTTCATAAAAAATCAAAAGGTACGAATATCGGCGACAAAATACAGATTTTCAGAAAAAGGACCAGAAAATGCATTATTCACTTCAAATTGTCATAACTCAGTAAAAAAAAATTAAAGCGTAAATGATTAAAAAAGCATTTTAAAGAGAAAATGTTAAATTTTACGATATAATCAATAAAATTTGGAGAATAAATTTCGTACTCCACGTGCACGCTATAAAAGTTTATTCTTCAATTTTGCAATGCCCAATTTAAATTAGCGCTGTTTGTAGTAAAATCTTCGCAGAAAAATAAGTCTTGAAGCATTCGAAAGCTGAGGATTCTAAAATGCTTTAAAACCTTTAAAACATCACTCTGCGATCATTTTTCACAAAGATATGTTACTTTGAAATAGGTCCTTTTTAACGCTGATTTAAAGTAGCCCGAATTTTTTGTGGGCGAGTGTATATAAGTGAAAATTATTTTTGCTGAAAAAAAAATTCTTTTCGGTGACATTATCTGATTTACTAAGTATACTAACATTAACAAATTTTACTAATTTGAAGCTGAAATACTAATATTTAGCATTGCTTAGGCAAATATACCATCAATCAAGAGAAAAGAGGAGAGATATATAGATTTCCATCCACTGCTTTTCTGTCAAATATATCTCTTCTGTGCTTACGAAAAGATGATTTGTCTCGAAACTCAGCATTTTAATGTCAATCGAATCCTGCTGCTTGCCGTTGGTTTGTGGCCTTATCAACGATCGCGAATTGTTGAACTTCAGTTAATTTTATTTTTTGGCATTCTGACAACTTTCATTATATTCCAAGTATGTTAAGATTTTAATTTTATTATTATAAAATAAGCTATCAATTATTGCATAACAAAGCGTTATTTTAATTGCATCTATCAAATTTTAAATTATATTGGAAAATATTTTATGTCATTAAAATAATATTATTGTGATACTGTCTGTATTGTGATTATATCCGAATATTAATTACTTGCTTTCTTTACTAATTTATTGTACATAGTATACACAGTAACGGAGAATAAAGAAATTACAGTTAGCTAATCAGACAATCTACTGTTGCTTTTTTGACGTGGCTAATTTAATTATTGAAAATTATGGTAATTATTTATTAATACGGACCACCCTCCGATGACCTTGACCTTGACATATGTTGTCAAGGTTACCCTCCTGAGTGACCTTCAGAAGTTTTTAGCCGGCGGTCGTTATTTGGTAAAAAGTTATTAACAAAAAAAGGTTCGAAAATGTAGCTGCTATTTTGAGTATTGAGAGGCATAAACGACTAATATTACGTTTTTTTTTTTAAAGCAGAGAATACTTTATTAATACTTTTTTGTTAATAACTTTTTAACAAATAACGAGCGCCGGCTAAAAACTTCTAAAGGTCACTCAGGAGGGTGACCTTGACAACATATGTCAAGGTCAAGGTCATCGGAGGGTAGTCCGTATTACTAAATACTTACCAAAATTATTTCTTGCAGTTTACCACATTCTTGACATCAAAATGTACTCCAGAACATATTATCAAGATTATTTCTACTACATTTTTCTGTACATACTATGTGATCAAATACAATTCGTTTTGGATTAACGCCGATACTGTAAGAGCGTTATCAATCATATATGCATTAGTGATAAACAGAATTTTCGAATGTAAAACTGTCGGATTTTTATATTCCTTATCTATTATTAGGACTTTTATCCAGTTATTCTTAATTTCCTTTCAGTTCTTCAAGATTTGAAGAACTCTATTTCTATTATAATTATAATGTAAAAAATATTTTAAAAAATAACATAAATAATTCCGTCCTAATCAAGAATCTAGAAGTTTGACTATAAGCATTTTGAAAGAAGTATGAGCATTTTTGGTGATTTCTGAGCCCTTCTCTATATAGTTCAAATATTATTTGTCATAAAGTCCTGATTCAATGCTATGCGAGTTTTTCTGCAAAATGTGCAAGAGAGGCCCTATTAGATTCGTTAGGAAACATGATCTTTGCCTCGTTTTCAACTTGATTTACGATATTCTTTTTATATTATCCTATGGATTTAGATCCCAGTAAGTCTTGATTCGGCTAAGTTTTTAGATGCTTTATGTTATTTCGCCATCATGTCAAAGAAAGACAGAGAGATATTTTGGATTTTTGTGACACATACCCTGTAGTGATGTCCTCCTCCGGAGCCATACGTGGAGATAAAATAAAACGAGCGTGTGATACATGTACTCAGCTGTCCGTGCAGGTTCAACTCGAAACAGTGTATTGTGCTGAACACGTACGAGCAGACTGCACGTACAACCTAATAGCGTTTTTTACTGGGAAAACTAGTGTAACACTCGTGCACGCTGAGGCACACATATTTTCAGTGTTTAATGTTCTACCGTGTTTAACTTGACAAATTTTTGTCAATAGAACATTACACACTGAAAATATGTAAACTGATTTTCACATTGGAGCAATAAAATTACACTCAGTGTGCACCAGTGCTGCACTAGCTTTCCCAGTAGAAAACTCTATAAGTGTGCATTTATGTTGAACGCGCACGCGCATTTAAAAATATAATCTACTGACAGGAGATAATGATCCCGTTCAAATTCGACACGTTATTATGGAAGTACAAAGTACTTGGTTTATATCTTAATCGGATATAAGAACCGAATGAAGCCTCAGATGCCATAATAGGATACTACTGTCATTGTAAGAATGGTCTTCGCACAGTGGATTATTGCGTCCACGTTATAACAGTATCATGGTGTTCAGAATATGGTAGACATTCCTTGCCTATTTTACTCCCAGCAAGCTTCTTGGATGACATGACTGCAAACGTAGAAAGTAGTGATTTGAGTGAAGGGTACGAAAATACTTATAGCGTCCGATACTCAAGCTTCGTCCTACATTCTAATGTTCCTCTCCTGCATTAGTTGTAAACTTAAGCTCCTGGTTACGTTAATTTTCTAACATAAGCTTTTGAATAAACCTTATTTTATTTGCGTAGAAAAGGGCCCAGAATAGTCACCTTCTTTTACAAAAAAATAACATAATATTATTGACAGATAAGAAGTTTGCTGGATCGGCTCCAAGATGTATGTAACGAGCTAAGAGATGAGAATGAAATCGCTATTCTAAAAAAATACGGGAGCAAGGCGAAACGTTACACAACTGCAATTATACGTAAGACATGATGTCGAGTCTTCTGTATGTTTAAAAATTAGATTAAACATAATCATAAACACATTTTTTTCAAGACAAAACAAGATTCTGTCTAGCCTCAATATAAAAAATTAAAAGACGACTGAATGTTTGATATATAAATATATATATGTGTGTGTGTGTGTGTGTGTGTGTGTGCTTTCTAATTTTACAAAATTTCTCTCAGTGCTAGGTATATATTGCGTAGGTACAGTAACTGCTATGTGTATTTGGACGTACATTCAATACATTGGTCTGCCTAAAAACGAGTCTCGACTAAATCCTTCGGAGTATATTATGACAGAATATTTTTTTGATCAAGAAAAATATTCCTACTTAATCACCCTGCATGGACTAGCAACTATTTACATAGGGGCTGTCACACTGACAGCGACAGGAACTATGCTCCTTGCATATCTTCAACATATCTGCGGAATGTTTAGTATCGCCAGGTGAGTAAATAAATTCTCGAATATAATTGTAAACAACATTTTTTTGTTATCTCAAAACAAAATAAAATTAATTGAAAGAATAAAATTATATTTTTACAGTTATCGAATCGAACAGGCAATTAATATTTTACAAAAAGATATCCTAAAGAGTGAGAACATGGTTTATAAAAAGATTACTTATGCCGTAGATATTCATCGCAAGGCTATGGAGTTGGTATATATTTAATAAGGAGCATTAAATACTCATATAATTACACGAATTTTCTTGTACTTGAAGGTTCACGGACTTTTTAATATCAAATTTTGAGGGATCATTTTTCTTACTTATGGTAATCGGCGTGACTTGTATTAGCTTTAATCTTTTTTGGGTAAAATTCTTTAATCTCTATTTATCTCTATTTAATCGTAATTTCGTGATATTAGAATTTTATGAAATAGTTAAAAAAATAAAAAGAAAAAAGTAGCTAACCCTTTTTCTATCTATAATATATTTATTGAAAACGATAATTCATGAAAATAATGGTTACCTAATTTTTATGATACTGTAATTGCTAATTATATGTATAAGTTAAAAAAATAAATAAGCAAAAACTTAATAAAAACTTAATATTAAAACTCTTAATTCTTAATTATTCTTAATAATTCAATATTCTGATCTGATGACATATAATTTATTGAAATTTTATCATGCAATATATATAGAACACAATATGATTCGATCGTGCGTAAGAAATCGATAGCAAATGCTTAATGGACGTATCACATTTTTTAGCTTGCGTCATATAATGATGAAATTGAAAAACTTGTTGCACCTTTTTTAATGATAAACATCATCTACGCGTACTTGTTCTTAGCCAACTATACTGCGCAAGAAATTACGGATCACAACGAATATGTATTTGCCACAGTGTAAGAAATATTTCCATCATTTTGTCATACAAGGGTACTCATTTTGAAATAGAAATCTAAATTATAAAAAAATATTAGAGTAAAAGTACTAATACGAAGTGTGGAATAAATATATTTATTATTACCAAATATTGTTGTCTTATCAAAACTAGCAATTGTTATTATTTTGTAGATACAACGTTCAGTGGTACACGGCTCCATTACATATACAAAAAATAATATTGTTTCTACTGCAAAGAGGCATTAAACCTTTTCATATAAATTACAGTGGAATATTTGTGGCGTCCTTAGAAAATGCGGCTACGGTAAGAAACATGTATTTCATATGTTGTAGTTTATAGTAAGTCTTTCTATTATCTCTGAGAATATTGTTTAATCGATAATAACATTAACAATTATTTTAACATATTCTATTGCTATTTTAGTCAAATCACGCTTTTCATCACATAAATCATACAAAGACGTATAGTTTTACTATAATAATTATTATTTACAAAATGTTAACTAACAGCTCAGTACAGCTAGAAAATAAAATGAAAGTTAAAGCAAATTATAAAATTACTATTGTATTTTTTGTTTTATCTCATAGTCAATAATATTACAAAATTAATAATTAACTTTTACTTCAAAACGTCGTAGTTGAATTATCGGAAAAAATCGATTATTTATAAAACTTATTGTCCCCAAATGTTTGGTTAAAGAAAGTTCTATTATATTTTTAATATTACTTATTACAAAATAAAACAAAAGAAATATTTTATTACAGTTGTTTAGTACTTCGATATACTATTTTACTGTTCTCTGTTCTACGAGGGAGAACTAAGAGTATAAATTAATGACGATAAAATAAAATCAGTTTTTCGGGATTTTACATTGTAAAAACACACTGTACAATAATAATGTTGAAAACGTTGCGTACAATAAAAATGTTTTATTATTTAGATTTTATGTAAGTATAAAAAGTTTCCTTTTTGTAAATGCAATAAAATTTTGATTGGTTCCATTATTAAATAAAATGCGAAAGAAATTTTCTTTATGATTGCTTTTTTATAGCGCAATTAACAGATTTCCTTTATTTAATTTTTAATGATATTTAGTTGTATATATTTCCGATATGTAATTATTTCAAGTAAGGGAGAACGAGGCTATATGGCTCCAGGGGTATGTTGCTTATGTACTGTTTTTTAGTATTTATCTCGAGAGAAACAGTGGATAAAAAATAGAGAAATATTTCGGGGGGAAAAAAAAATTACGCAAAATTCCGTCCATTGTTCCTCTCAATATAAATACTAAAACATAGCACATGAGCAACATATATATTCCTGGAGCCATATAGTCCCGGTCTTCCGTATGAAGAGAGCCCAATAAAATAACACGCATCTGCACAAATAACTGTTGAGAACAATGGATTATTTAATGAAAAAACAATATTGATTATTTACGGATAACAGAAACTTTTATCTGTGACACTATATCTCTATATGTAAATAATGTTAAAATGTAATATATATTAGAGGTTATCCCTCAAACAAACCTATATAAATTTCGCTCTTAAAATCTTTTAGATTAAAGATACGCATACGAATAAGAGTATGCACTCAATAAACTATTGTCTGTAACAAACATTTATTTAAAAAAAGACATAATTCTTTTAAACAGAATAAATCACTTTTACTTCGCCAGTCAAATAATAAACAACAATAGAAGTATTAATCGACTCTACTGGCTATTATAATCGCCAAGACAACACGCCATGATTTGGTTCGATTGTTGCCATGTAATCTTTAATTGATACTTATATATAAGCATCTCATTTAAATAATTAAATTTATAGCGAAAAATATTTTATTTTGTAACTTATTTTTAAAGGAGGAAATGACGTATAATTTTTTACTTCTTCGACGATGTTTTTTAGTTTCCAAATTTTATTTTGTTAGCCGACTTATATCAGAAACAGTATCATCAACAAAAAGGTTTATATTGACGTAGAACTACGTCTTTCTCCGCGGTATGGGGGATGCGACGGATGCGACGATGCAACGAAAATATGTCACACTTTGAACGTTTAGATCTTCAAAACTAATAATCGTAAAGTAATCATTGACATCTCATTTTAAAGCTTAAGAAGTCCCATTTATGATAAATCTTGACCGAACTCTCTATTTTTTTCCGTTTCGTTATAGTAGCGTTTTAAAGTTTCGCAAAATTTCTTGTAGATTCAACGAAAACATGTCTCACTTTGAACGTTTATATCTTCGAAACTAATAATCGTAGAGTAATGAATGACATCTCATTTTAAAGCTTAAGAAGTCCCATTTATGATAAAACAAGAGAGAGAGAGAGAGAGAGAGAGGGAGGAAGAGGGGGGAGAAAGAAAGAGAGAGAGGGGGGGGAGAGAGAGAGAGAGAGAGAGAGAGAGAGAGAGAGAGAGAGAGAGAGAGAGAGAGAGAGAGAGAGAAGGTCAATTTATTTATTTAGGCACGTCAAGTTTTTGAGTCTTCAATGTTTTTCCTTAACGTCTCACCTGGATATTTCAACGTTTATTATTTATATACATGCAGACAACCAACGAATTAATATAACAAAGTGTAAATGAGAGCTAAGTACTTCTTACGGTAAATCTTACTTAATATATAGATAGCAATACTAAAAATTGTAATTCAGATTATAACATTGATACTATACATATAT